CGACTATACGAACAGTATTTCAGGAATTGAAAACGCTTATTTTTCTGAAAATCCAAAATGCTGGGAGACCTATTACCCGAAAACTCGTAAGTCTTGATCGGCCCATCCGAAGATACGATTTTAATACAGATAGAATGAGCTGAACAAAGATTCTAGGCTAAAATAAGTGTCGGTCAGGAGATTCGCGTTGCAGTGACGCAGTGCAAGTGGCGTCAGGTAAATGACTGCCTATTATAGTTTGTGCGCGCCAAGTGAATCGACTAAATGACCTTCGAGTAAAACAACAGCAAAGCCGATAGTTTACCTTCAAATATTAATACTGCGAAACGTGGTACTAGAGATTGAAGGCCAGGGTCTGACGCCAGAAGATGTAAAACTTCCTGTAAATGAAACGTCTATGCATCACTAGGAATGTTCAAACGCTTCCGAGAGGGAAACCGTAAACGAGTATCAAAACACTCTCACCCTTCTCTTTTCGGGACAAGGACCAATGACAGTTTCTACGCACTTTCTGAAGAATACTTGTTGGTCCTGAAAAATTCAACTATCAAATGATGGAGAATCCAGACATTGTTGAACCACCATTAAAAGTATCGTATAACCCGATATCGCAGCGAACTTTGAACTTGTGACAAGGCAATGGTAGAATGCCGCGCTAGTGGGCGTGAGAGCGACGCCGCACCCGACGGACGAGTTCCCCATCTATGCCGTTTGAATTTGAGCGTAAAGGAACGAAAAAAAGTCGACATCGCTTGCCAGAGAGTATTTCCTTGAATTGAATTCGTATGAGTTTCGCTGCTCCAATGGACATACGATGCACCCAGACAATTCGCCGCGCATCGCCGCATGATACGTCGCGCGCGACGACAAATTAAGACTGTCCTGTCTGTCTAGTGAACTCACCAAAGACAACGAATGCGTGGTGATAGGACGAGACAGACTCTGGTCGATCTTGTTTCCAGGTCTCGTAGCACGGTTTCCATCCTCCTTAATTATGATTGTAATTAATATTTGCCAAGATAATATAATCGATATGAAGTTACAGTAACTGTTGCTCTGCAATTTTTGAGAAGAAAAAAAAACTAGTTGTATGAGGCGATAAGAATGATGTGAAGTTCAATCGAGGCTAGGGTCTATCTTGATGGAGGAGTGTCGCATTTAGCTAGTTAAGAATTTGTTCACTGCTGAATTTTACAACTGCGCACCGCTTTCCTTTGTTCGCTGCGAATTATCAAGCGTGTCAGGAAGGATGAGTGTGGGGGAGG